TAGGTCAATATCTTAATATAGGCAGAGTAATCAATCCGAAATATAAATTCATGCTGAACTTAATTTTCGCATCTTTACTTAGTTGTTATTATTATTATAATATATAGGTGATGAACTTGCACTTGCTTTATGGAAAAAATTTAGAAATCTTAGTATTGAAAAATACAAACAGACCTATGCACGTTTGAATATAGATTTCGATATTTACTCTGGTGAATCTCAAGTGAAAAATGAGAGCATAACACAGGCATTATCTGCCATGAAAGAAAAAAATATTCTTGAAGAATCAGACGGAGCACTTATTGCTGATCTAAAAAAATACAAGTCAGATATTGCATTGATACAGAAGAATGATGGTACTACTCTGTATATTACCAGGGATATTGGTGCTGCAATTGAACGTTATGAAAAATACAAATTTGATGTAATGTATTATGTTGTAGCATCTCAACAAGATTTACATTTTAAACAACTTTTCAAACTATTGGAATTGATAGGAGTTGAATGGGCTAATAAGTGTAGACATATAAATTTTGGTATAATTAATGGAATGAGTACTCGTAAAGGCACTGCTGTATTTTTGGATGAAATACTAAATCAAACCAAAGAAAGCAGGTCTAAACACAGGACCCCGGATTATTTTTGCTGAAGTTACATGTAAAAGTAGTGTTGGTCGCCAAAACTATTTTGAAGAGGCGAAAGTCAAAACTAAAATTAAAAAGTTATGTCATGCTGGATGTTACCTCATTTATAATAATCCAGGCCCCCATATTACTATTACTACGCTATGCGGCCAAATTTTCAAATATATAGATATTAATATGGTTGGCTCGGTCTAAAGACTTTCTATTGTTGTGTCATGTGGCCAAATTTCAAAAAAAATTGCAATTTTGTTAATTCATTAAAATTTTTTCAAAAAATAGGACTTCACGTGATTTTAGTTTTAAAATTATTCTTACTGCCAAATTTTAAATATGATAATCGTGGGATAGTTGAATTTAGTCTAAACTTGGTAATGATCTAGCGGCCAAATTCCTCGTGAACATATATAGTAAAATACATACATTAAACTTAAAGCCCTATCCTATCAACCAATAACGCTATTTTTTTAAAAAAGTAGGACAGAAAGTGACTTTTATACTTTTAAAATTTATGCAAAATTTAGGAGGTTTTTAGACAGAGCCAATTATAGCACTTTCCAAAAATAATCCAGTGATTTACCAGCTAATCAGAATATTTGTAAAAAAAGTATATTTTAACTTTGAACCCCTATAACTCCACAAAATTTTTCCGACTCTTCCAGTTTGAAAGTCGCGTGTCTTTAAAAGATTATAATTTTAGTGGTACCTTTAAATGTCCTGCACCATATTAATTAATAATAATATTTTCTATTTTTAAGTACACATTCCGTGATTTCTGCAGCATTCCACATTCACACATTAATATTTTCATCAGGAATTGGCGTTATTGTCTTATCTAAATATCTGGGGCTTTTCAATAGAAACGGATTATGTTGCGAAGATGATGTAAGAGGTTTACTGTTTTTGAAACTTTAAAGAAAAAATATTTCAATTAAGCTTGTCCCCCATAATCAAATATCAAATGTTGCAATGTTGCAACAAAACCGTAATGTTACAACCTTTACATATTATGCATAGTGTTGCAACATAGACATGATGCAGTTAGACCGCTTTTAAAAACATTATTATTATTCTTATAAACATAAACAAAAAATTTGAGTTCGTTTATCTATTCATCATCTAATTGCGGTAAATAAAGCATGTGGATCTCCATTTTCGTCTATATTGCTTTTCTTGAAGGGATTGATATTCAAGATTTAATGCTTTTAAAAATCAATGAAGAACGGGTTTTCTACAAGGGGGAAAGGTAATCCACACATAATAAACATCATAACTAAAGCTTTATCGATTGTTTTGTGCGTGATTCTTCTAAATCAACTGAACAAAAATAACCATCAATATGATATTCTCCAGAATGTCCAGGAGTTTTTGCTTGTTTAGAAAATGTTGACTTTGTAAAATCAATTCATTTTTGATAGTTCAGATGCTTTTTAACATTGGAAAACATGAGAATGTAAAATATATGGTCGGGCATCTTTAAAAAATGACAAACATGGCTTACATGTAACTTGGTAATGTCCATTACCAAGATGGTTTACCACGTGTAAAATATTCCTATATTTTGGACCAAATTTATTTTTGTTATCAGTCATCATCTTTAATTATTATATTCGTGGGAAAAAGAAATGATATAATTAGAAAAGTAAGGATCATACTTTTTTTATTTGTATAATAAATATTACATCATTACGGTTAGTTGCAACACCAACCCTCAAATGTTGTATTGTTGCAACACGAGTTGCAACACCGTAATACCGTAATTTTACATTACGGGTGCCAACTCTAATTTCAATGCTTTACTATACAAACTGAGTATGGTTTCTAAGCCAAAAATGTTCCATCTATATATCAATTTCATCTAAACGTTTACTAATGTTTGAGTTGTTGCGTTTTCGTGTTCTAGTATTGCATCAAAAAGTAATCCTTGCTGTAACGAGTTAAATTCATATTAAGATTTTGAGCATCTTGAACTTTTGATGGATTTCATTTAAAGAAATAATTCCAAGCAATGCTCCTTCTTTTACTTTCTCCTCGTAAATTATTTATTTATTAGTATGAGTTTGAGGACTAACGATATTTAAAGATGGTGTTGTTTCTAGACTTGGAGTAGGCTACAAATATAACAATCATGTTTGTTGTAATAGCATAATTTTTTGCAAGTGAAATAAGTGAGTTATAAATAAAAGGGGAATTTTTCAATTAATCAATCAGTCAAAAATAGATTTTTTGAGCCAACAGGATTTATTCAGCTATTAATTGGTTTTCCTGCAAAAATAATTCAGAAATCTGTCCTATTAAAGCTGTGTTGACTTCAAAGATGCCATTTATTGGTGTTAATGGAATTGATGCAATACAAAGGTGTCCAGAGTTGCATTGTCATATTTTCATGATCTTCCTGTTTAATAATATTCTCAAACCAAAAAGTTAATACAAAGACAAATTATCAAACGCTTGTGTTAACATTTACAAAATGAGGCTGACTGCCATCTGACATTTCAATGAATATAAATTGAATTATTCATTTGAATTATTTATTCATTTTATTCAAATTATCAAATTATTCGAATAAACTTTCAATGTAATTCGAATACTCATAATAATGAGGAACAAATAATTCGAATAGTCAAGGTTGCATGTGGCAGTCTTAGGCTTTGAGTATTGTGCACTGTAAGAGCAAATGCATTCTGCAACGGAAATTGACACCTTGATGCCGGTATGTCATTGATATCAAAATTTGCAACGCTTTTCTGAACGTTGATTTTCATCACATTGTTAGTTTTGGGAACGTAACTTCCACATTGTCATCATCAACGACTTTAGTTATCACTCCTGTTGTCCCATTGCAGATGTTGTGCTCGAACAGTTTATTGTTCAAAGAACATGACCCTCGCTCCATCCTGAATTGTAATGGATTTTCGGAGGTTCGTGTGATCATTGAAAGGCAAAGTTGCTAGACCACCATCAATCCTTTCACGATTTAAAGCGTCGACTACGGGGAAACAATAGGATCGGAGCACCGGTCATCAAAAGATAAGTGCTGGCAAACGAAGGCGTTTATTTGGTCTGATATTTCACGGGTACCAACAACGTGGGTGGTGCTTATCATCATCGGTGTTCATTCTGAACGCTTTGTAGTTGACCTCCACATATGTTTGTTCTTCTACATGGCACACAGCCTCCACAGTTACCGTATGTGTCCCACTGGCTGACTTGATGAACATGGTTGATGACAAGATAGACGACATAATAGGTTTTTTAAGTGGATTTAATAACAAATAAAGAAATACTATGCAAAAAACAAGTGAGTAAAAAACATTCGAGAGGTGAATCGGCTAGTTTTTTATTCATTTATTTATTTATACATCGCAGATAAAGGTCAATTTGATCGATTAGATGTTTTTTTCAAGTCTACATCACCATAGAAGAATAAGTTTTACAAATTTCGATTGTTAAAAAAATCAACTTCCCTTAATCAAAAAAAAAAAGATCTTCGCAAAGAAGTACCCTCTTGTGAATCAAAGGCCATTTGCGAATTTCGTTTGTTAAAAAAAAATTAATATCATCATCATTATCATATGTTTATCTTCCAACCATCATTCCAAATGAGTGTTTTTTAATATCATCATCTATGAAGTTAGTATTTTCGTTACAATATCCTTTAAATCGAAAGTTGAAAAATTCTTCATTATTGATTCAGGTTGTTGCCTCTCCAATAAATAAGGTTTTTTTAACATAATTTACTTCTCGATAAAACATAACACAGTGATGATTGTTGTCATTTTTTAAAATTAAAAAAATGATTATGAATAGTGTGCGTGCATATTAATATGTGTATATATGTATTTAAAAAGCTTTTTACCGCAGATGAAACTTTACATTTTTTAACATTAACGTTTTTTTTTTTAACTTAAAAAAGAATAATAATTCCACGTTACTATTGTTTACTATTTACAAAATTTACAAATATTTATTCTACTACTGCTTACCACCAGTTTTTTCGCACTAAAGCTGTTCTCTCAAAATGAGAAAAATCATGAAGAAAAAATTTTGATTGGCACAAAATATTGCGAATTATTCTCTGAATAGAAAATTGGAGTTATTTAAAACAATATCTATGAAGCCACGCAGATTTTGATTTAATATTAACAATAAAGGAAAAAGACTTTTTCTGCTTGATAATGCTGTGCCATAAAAATTAAATCAAAAATCTTATTTTTTTTTTTTATAAATTAAACGTTTGTCCATTAAAAAAAAAATATTTGGATAGCTTATTTATAATGATAATAATAACCAAAAGCATAGGCTTTAATTTTGTACAACTTCAAAATCCAAAAAAGGTTTTAAATAAGAGAATTGCTATTTCTCACCGGTGGTGATTGTCACCACCCAAGGAATTAAATTTGCGTGGGGCGGAGTTAGGGTTGGGTTAATCATAAATTGCATAATTCCTTAGGTGGTGACAATCACCACCGGTGAGAAATAGCAATACCCTAATAAATTTATAAATATTTTATTTATTATTATTGTCATTGTTATTATTATTATAATATATAGGTGATGAACTTGCACTTGCTTTATGGAAAAAATTTAGAAATCTTAGTATTGAAAAATACAAACAGACCTATGCACGTTTGAATATAGATTTCGATATTTACTCTGGTGAATCTCAAGTGAAAAATGAGAGCATAACACAGGCATTATCTGCCATGAAAGAAAAAAATATTCTTGAAGAATCAGACGGAGCACTTATTGCTGATCTAAAAAAATACAAGTCAGATATTGCATTGATACAGAAGAATGATGGTACTACTCTGTATATTACCAGGGATATTGGTGCTGCAATTGAACGTTATGAAAAATACAAATTTGATGTAATGTATTATGTTGTAGCATCTCAACAAGATTTACATTTTAAACAACTTTTCAAACTATTGGAATTGATAGGAGTTGAATGGGCTAATAAGTGTAGACATATAAATTTTGGTATAATTAATGGAATGAGTACTCGTAAAGGCACTGCTGTATTTTTGGATGAAATACTAAATCAAACCAAAGAAAGCATGCATGAGGTGATGAAACAAAATGAGAATAAATATTCACAAATTGATGAACCTGATAAAGTAGCTGATGTAATTGGTATCTCTGCTGTAATGATACAAGATATGTCAGCTAAAAGGTAATAATCATAGCATTAAAATATTAATGGGATTGCTTATTATTATTATTATTGTTATGTTTATTATTTGGTTTAATTTTATATCATTTAGAATTCGTAATTACTCGTTTGATTGGAGTCGTATGTTTTCATTTGAAGGTATTTAAGCAAATATAAAAATCAACGTTTACATACATGTATATATCTAGTGTTATAATTTAACTAATCTATATTTATTTAAAATTTTTTTTTTTCCAAATATACAGGTGATACTGGACCTTATCTTCAATATGCTCACGCTCGACTTTGTTCAATTGAACGAAATTGCGGCCTAACAGTAAATCCTTCAGCCAACATTGATCTTCTATCAGAAGAAATAGCGTCAGTTCTTATGGAAATGGTTGCACAATATCCCGATGTAGTTAAGAGTGCTTTACATACATTAGAACCTTGTACAGTTGTGACATATGCTATGAAGTTAAGTCACACGGTATCAATGGCTTTAGAAAGTTTATGGGTTGTTGGAAAAGAACATGAATTAGCAGAGGCTAGGTTATTAATGTATTGGGCAACTAGAATAACGCTTGGAAACGCACTTAAATTACTTGGTTTGAAACCTTTGGAAAGAATGTAACTAACATAGGATCAATTTATTAATTTATCAATAAATATTTAAAATTTGAAAATATTTTCAATCAATAGAACGCTTGACACTAGTAATTGTTTTTGTTGGATTATTCTTTTTTTAAAAAAAAATTTTTTGATGACGATGAATTTTATTAGATGAAAAATATTTTAGATTAATTATTAGATGGCCATTGTAAGTCTACTTCCAACACGTCTAATTCAAAAATATCAACAGTACAATCAAGTATATCTCCTAAGCTTGGTTTAGTTCTACCTAAATCACCATGAATGAATTCTTTGATGTAGCTATTTAAATATTAATACAAGTATATATTGTGGTGATGCAAATTAAGGAATAAGTGATATTAGGAATAAACATTTAGAAAATTGTTAAAAGGCAGATTTATATTTATACAGGATACGTTCCAGCTTCTGTTTTTAGATTTAATACTAAAAAATGATCATTCAATTGTTTTGCCGCAAGCGAGTAAATGGTTTTGGTACGAATTAATTGTGCGCGTCTATTAGATATATATGTATATATATATATTAGTTTAATTTTTGAATTAAGCGAAAGAAATAAATAAAAAATAAAAAATTTGTAAAACCTCTGTAAAACTCTAATTGGTGTTTGTTGTTCAATTGTGAAACTAGTGTCATTGTAATGATTGAGTTGAGAAATTAACTCTGGAGTAATTTGTTTAGAAACCCAGATAAGTGAACTTTTCTCCCCCAAAAAAAATAATTAAAAAATATTCTTTATTATTAAATCACAACAAATCAATAACAATATATTATAAAAACCTGTATGTTTTTGTTTTTGCTTCTTCACCTTGTTTAATTATGTTAATATCTTGCCTTAAATATAAATAAATAAATAAATATATATATGAGTTTATAGTTATCAATATATAAATACTAATGCACATAAATATATAAATATAACAAACTTGTTAATCATAGATAATTTATCAACTTGTATTAAATCCTTTTTCATTTCATTAATTTCACTTTGTGAACTTAACAATTCTTCAGGTGAAAGTAAAGACTTTCTCGGGTTAATGATTTCAAGGTAAAAAGGTCGACCAGTTCCCAACATTCGCACATCAGCATCTTCACGACCTGATGCAACAAATATGTAACCTGAAGGGTTTTTAGGAGGGGGAAAAAAAGTAGTTACATAAATTAAATAAATTAAACAACGAATAAACAAAGCAACAAATTAAATTCTCTATTTACTGTCACACATAAACTTTTCTCGTAAAAGTTCCCCGATACATTCTGAAACAGAAGTTTCAGCTAGTCTAACATCATTAATAATCCATGGAGTTTGGCTCATTTCTCTGGAAAGCTTTAAATATCGACCTAATATTTCATCAATATAAATAAACGTATAGTAATAATTAGAACAAATGATTAGAATAATTTATGAAATAAATCACCTCCAACATAAACGGGATTATGTTCCAATATAATTGATTTTATTTGCCATTTATGCTGGATTGTTTTTGGCGGGTGTTCATCACAATATCTGTAAATTTTCAAAAGTTTTAAATAATATATAGTTAATAAATGTAATAATAAATAATAGTAACGGCGGTGATAGTAGTAGTAGTAGTAGTAGTAGTCACAGTAAGAATTAACAATACTTTATGAATTCATCATTAGAAATTTTTTTCAAGGAGTTATAAATATTCTGACGTGAATCACCTGATGTAAAAAATTTTCCCTGCGGTTTAAACCAAAAAAGAAATTTAATTAATTAATTAAATCAAGCAGTTTAGTTAATAACAAGAGGCATACATACATTCATATCATATTATTTATTATACCTTTACTCTTTTCTTCTTTATATTAAATTCTGCTGAAGGTATTTTTGTTAGAAATGTATGATTTTTTTGTGATTCTTCGTGAAAATATTCAACTGTTATTTTAAATGGGCTTTCGGTACGATATTCTAATTCTAATTGTTTTTCAATTGACCATCCTAACAAACATTTAAAAGCATCTTTTAAATTTGTAACTAAACTAAATGCAACTTCGATATTTTTTTCTCTAAATATAAAGTTATAATTATAATTTGAACGTCAAATATATCAATGAACATTAATATAAATAACTATACCTGAGCTTTTCCTTGATAAAAACTTCAACAGAGTGTTCTTTTACTAAAAGACCTGATGGCAATGTAATTGCCAAATTAAAGTCTTTAATTATATAATTATGTGCTCGAATCTTTTCACAAATAGGCAGAAAACACTCAAGAGTGTCAGAGTTATATAAAATGTCAAAACAGCTAACACAAATGGTTTTTTCAAAATCAGCATCATCATCATCACAAAATTCTATCTCAACATCATCACGTATACAATTAATAATTTTTAACAAAACCTAAAAAATATATATAATAATGCTTTATTCAATAATCTGTTCATTCACAAAGCGAGAAGACTTTAGAGTCAAATTTTACCTTCTCGGAAGCACAATAAGTCTTATAATCTTTAACATTCAAAAATCTCAAGATGCAACGAGCACAACACTTTAAATTTAATAAAATTTCAATTATCGTTTTTGTTACAATGTTACGTTGTACTTGTTGGATTATTTGATGGTAAAGAGCTTTTATGTCTAAAAAAACCATTGTGAGTTTGTATATATCCTTACATTTAAAGAAAATTTTATTAGTTTTATTATTACCATTAACATCTTCAAAGTTATAACGAATTCTTTTCCACCTATCAGATTCACTCGGTACAAGTGTTGTTGATAACAGAGCTAAATTTAAACAGAATTAAGGTTCAGATACTTAATATTTAAACCAATTAATAAAGATTTCAAACAATATTACCATGATCATTTTGTTAAACTTGATTTTTGGGGAAGGAATTTTTATTTTTGAGAAATGTTAAATTGTAAATGTTCATTTTTTTTTTGTGTAAAAATTGACTTGGGGATCAATTTATTTTCTTTCCAAGATCGTAAGACCTTTCTGCTTTCAATGACACCTGATAATAATAATCTTCCGTTTTTTCTCCTGTTAGTCTTTTAGCTTGTGTTTGATTTTCTCTCCTATCTTCTTCTGTGTTGAGACCAACATGAATTTAATAATAATTATTATTATTCACAAGAATAAGAAAGTATCAAATTTTTTTTTTGTCATGAAGGCAAAGAATGCATTATTGTCTTTATGTCTATTATACCGAGGTAAAATTGTTATATTTTAAAGAACTATTACAACCAATTAATGAAATAGATGTTAGCAAACAATTGTTATTTTTTTGATCAATTATATCTTAACAAACAATAAACCATACTTTTTCGGTTAACAAAACTATTGATTTCTTTGATAAATGAAGAACTATTACTTTTCTGATTAATTAATGATCAAGCTGTTGCTTTTTTCGATCAATTTAACAAAATAAATATTATTATTATGTTGATGTTTAAAATACTAGTGTTTTAAAAGACGATCCTAATTGTCATTCTAATGCTAAATTGGGAAGGAAATCGCCATGTTTAAATATATATTAAAAGGAATCTCAACGGACACTTTTAACTTTAACTCTCTAATTATTACCTTTACTGTTATTTATTTCAAAACACATATATTGATTGTTATCTTTTATATTTTATATTTTATAACTATCAAAAATATCACTATCATTATCATCGTCATTTTATTTTCTCAATTATTACCAAAAATGACTTCAATTTTTACTGCCTTCTGTTACATTTTGAATTGCAGGCTTATCAATGGAACCGCTACATACAGGAGTGATAAAGGAAGTCAAATTTATAGAGACATAATTTTCAAAGGATTTCCCAACCCTGACAAGTATAAGCAAAATAATCGTGCGAAAGGAAATTTACCATTTTGAAATTGATGGCAAGACAACAATTTCCTCTCCAAAATGCATTTGCTTTGACGGTTCACAAAACCCAAGGTTTAACCTTACCACACATAATGCTAAATGTTGACGAAAACATGTTTGCAGAAAGTCAAGTATACGTTGCGATGAGCCGAGCCAGGACCCTGGAAACTACATAGATAGATTACATTATTTTTGAGTAAATCAATATGTAAAAAAATCGAAAGGTCAGAGAAAATTTTGGGTAAATTAATATATATGGTTTAAAAGGTCATG